ATGAGAAGACAAAAAGCATTTGAAAAATGATGACAATGTCTTTCAAAAAGTCATTTAACACCTGCAATCACACTTCTGTTCTTTGGATGAAAAACTTTCAGTGGTTTTAACAATCATGGCTTGTCACAGAAAACCAGGAAAACTGATCTAGGCCACATGCCCAGCCTATCCGGTTCACAGCAAGAAACTAACTCTAACCCTAACACTATCCATAACCCTATCTTGACTACTATTCCTAATCTTAACCCTAAACCTAACCCTAACCTATCGCTAACCCTGACCTAAATCCAACCCTAACTCTAGCCCTAACCCTAACACTGACCCTAAACCTAACACTAACCCTAAACCTAACACTAACCCTAACCTTAACTCTAACTCTAACATAAGCATAACCCTACCCTTAATCCTAACCTAATCCTAACCCTTAACACTAACCCTAACCATAACCATAGCGTAACACTAACACTAACCCTGATCCTAAATCTATCCCTGGATGTGAGCTGGGTCAGCCCTGCCCTGCACCACCTGGCTTAGACACCTCTGTGCCTGTAGCTATTTAGGTACTTGACTCTGGAGCTGTCTGCTGCAGAGAGAGTGGCCACAGTCATGTGGTACAGAGCTTCTGGGAGAACTGGGACACTGTGCTCCAAGAGCAGGTCTGCCAGGACTTCAGCAGCCACCCAGTCAGCTGGAGCACTGGAAGGAGGGAGCAATGCAAGGCAATAGCCTGTGGGCTGGTACGCAAGGTTGTTGTGGGATATTTTGCACACTGTGTGAAAATGTATCACTGTGATTGGTCTAATAAAAAGCCAAATGGTCAATAGCTAAGAGGGAGGTATAGGCAGGACTTCAGGGCAGAGAGAGAACTCTAGGAAGAAGGTGGAGTTGCTAGCCAGATGCAGAGAGCAGCATGGGCAGTACAGAGATGAAGTAACCGGTCACGTGACAGAATGTAGTTTAAAATAAGTGGGTTAAGTTAAAAGAACTGGTGGGACAAGGCTATGCTAAGGCCAAGCTTTCATAATTAATGAGTCTCCATGTTGCTATTTGAGAACTGGCTGATGGGACAGAGAAAGGATCGTTACACAGGGTGCTCACCTGATGTGGTGCAGAATCTCCTGGCACTGGTTGTGATATTGCTGCAGCCAGGGCCTGAGCTGGGTAGGGGCCACCACCAGCAAAGGCTGGAAGGGTTTTCCCAGAGACTCCTGAAACAAGATTCCAGTGCAGATTGGCTCTTCTGCCAATCTGGGGGCTTCCCCCAGATTGGGAGAATACAGGGACTTCCCAGGAAAAAATGGTTTGGTCTCAGTGTTAGGTACAGCTGGCAATGAGCAGCCAATTAATAATGTGGGTCAAATGCCTCACTTACCAGCGCATGCTCTCTCTGCAGCAAGATATTCAGCAAGCCCTGAGGAGAAGAGCACATGTGATGAGCCAGGTCCAGCTGTCAGCTCCACAGGTTAGTCCTGCCTGCAAGTGGTTCCTAGTACACTGACCCCATCCCTATCCCACATCACAGGTCGGGTGGCACATGCTAGCCAATGACCGAGATGTTACAGGCAGAAAAACACAGCTGTGTTAGAAAGAGGGCAATGGGCTGAGATCTAGGGAGCCCTAAAAGGCCAAGATCAGGCTGTGTATGAAGCAAGAAAAGCCGAGGAAAGCCAAAAATTTGGCACTAGAGGGAATGACTAACGGAGCCAGCACCCCCCACATGCTGACCTCTAAGGTCCCACACTCACCGTGTGGTGGTCTGCGTGAAGGTGGGACACAAACACAGCAGTGAGGTTGCACAGGACTCTGTCTATTTGCTGTCCATAATGGCGGCACAGCTGCCCAAAAGTGCCCTCTCCACAGTCCAGCAACACAGACTTTTCAGGGCTTCAGAAGACAGTCACCAACAGGAGAGGCTTAGTCAGACACTCCAGAATGGCATTGCTGTGGCAGGGATAGACCAGGCAGCAGCTGTGGACATCCCCACCCCCCCTTCCACAACCACATCCTGCTGTCCTTTGTGGATATCATAGGAAAGTCAACTAATTAAACCACATGGATCATTCTAGACCAGTCTAGCTTCTCCATATGAAAGATCCAAAGAACCCAGAAGCCTTTCCAAATATACATCAACACAATGCTGTGTGTCAATCAATAACAGAAAAAAGAAAAAGGTAGACTGTGGACTGGGAGTCAGTCCTCACACATCCCTCTGCCTCCCCCTTATAGGCTACACTGCTGGAGTGACAGAGATGGCATTATGTCATAGAAATGGCTCCCGGTGCCCTTTCTAAGTGGCCCTGGTTTTCTTGGCCCAAATGATCTTGAGACAGGATGCGCTGCATGAACTTTCTCTGGGGAGGTGGCTAGAGTGACTCAAGGTTCCTCTCAGCTGTCTGCTGGGTAGGCAACTGAGGCTTTACTCTGAGGTAGACAGACAGAGGTACCCCTCTGGCTTCCTTCCTCTCTCAAGGAAACCACAAGATTGGAAAGGCCACACGTGTGCAAAGACACCTCATTCTAAAGACAGTGACTTCCAGGGAAGAGTCTAAATGAGAAAAAGCTGGCCCTATTCACATCAACATGGGTGCTAGATGAATTTAGGAATTCAAGAGAGGCCAGGCAACTCTAACCCTCTTGCCTACATTTCTCACTCATGAAGAAAACATGCCTAGATTTGAAAACATTTGACCTCAGGTGAGCCTGGGAACTGCAGTGCACACTGTCTGACCTTAGGTGAGCCTGGGCACTGCAGTACACACTGTCCAACCTCAGGTGCAACAGAGCAATGCAGTGTACACTGTCTGACTTCAGGTATACCTGTCTAACCTCAGGTGCTCCTGGGCACCGCAGTGCACAGTCTGACCTCAGGTGTATCTGGGCAATACAGTGTACACTTGCAGTATTACTTGGTTATTGTTTGTTCATCAACAGCACCCATAATAATGAGCTCCCAGCACTTCACCAGTATGCTTCCTTGACAAATATGTCAGCAGAGCAGAGTGCTCACGAACATTTCACAGTGACTCTCACACATAACTGCAGATAAATGAACCTAAGCAAACCCAGAAATCAACCAGGAAAAACAACAACAACAAAAAAAAAAAAAAAAACCAAGCAGAACTCAAATGGGCTAAATATCAACAAATTGCAAGACCCCAAAAGCTTTGAAATGCACCAGTAAGAAGTTGAGGGAAATACAGGTACTGGTTTAGACACCAGCTCAAGGCCTGGACCTGCAGTTTAGGCTACAGAACTGAAGCAACCTCTCTTAGTATGCGCTTACCAGTCAACCAAGTCAATAGTCACCTATCCTTCACAGGCTTAATGTGTAGGCTCACTGGGACACCCCTCACAATGTATACAGCGGAAAGAGGTTTCAGCTTTTCTCCAAAGTCATGACAGGATGGATCTGCATGTTTCTCAGAAGTAAGTAGATATAGTAAAAAAAACACTCAAGAGGCAGATAAAGGAGAGCTGCCACAAGTTCCAGGACAGCTGGGTAGACACAGTGAGTTCCAGGCCAGCCAGGGCTATAGCATGATCCTATCTCAACAATATATTCTAAATAAAATAAAATGCAGCAAAGCCCACTACTTCTGCTCCAGGACAATCAGCCTGCTAAGTGGAGAGGACTGTTGAGTGGCAAGCTCTAGTGGACGGCAGCTTCTGGGGCAAACATGGTACCTTATGTTGATTAACGTGGAACTGACATTTCGGATCTTCATTGGGATGGCAGACCCCGTACCAAGGAAGACAATTTCAGGATACTGGCTTCTTTTCTCTGTGGAAAATACAAGTGAACTTGAGCCAGCATTCGGTCATGTGGTGGGTAAGCAATCTGGTCCAATCCACCTTCCCGGAAGAGTGCTGGGTGAATGGGTTTCCCTTTCAATATGAGGCCTGCAGGCTGTCAAGGGAGAAAAGCATCTGGAAGATAGTAATTACTCCGGCCTTTCTTTAAAACAAAACACCGCTAAATGACATAGACAGTTTCCTTAACTCCAGAATCACCACTTACTCCATGCAGGTGGCACCTCCACCTTGCAACAAGACAGCACACACACTTTGTGTGTCTACCCTGCCATCTGCTGCATAGAAAAACAGGGCTAGCTAGCCCTCAGCCTCACCTGGGTGGCCATGAGCTAACACAACGGGTCAGCAACTTAATCAGAATAGTTCTTCCCAGACACACATGGGAAGGGTTGACCTAGCACTGGCCTTAGAAAACCAAGAGTTTCCAGAAAAAGGACATCTGCCTAGGTTACTCCAGCAACCTTTTTATCACTAATTGAAAACTAAGAAAACCCCAAAAGTACAGAGGTCACAAAACACTCCAATTGCTTTCTCTGATGGAGCAATAAAACTGGTTACACGGCCATCATTGTCTATGGGCATTCTCAGCCAACCAGGAGATCCCAATAGCAACTGTGGCCAAGGGAAGATCAGCATGGTCTCACAGGTGTTCCCTAAACCATTTTCCTACAAGTGAGCTCTCAAGAAGAACCCGACACTGCCACTAAGCATGGAGCACATGTACTAAGGTCCTCAACACCTCCTGCAACCCTCTGCTGTAATACAGAAAAACCCTGAGTTAAAGAATCTGGTTTCAATTTGTACAACGCCCGGCTCCAGACTGCAAGCTTCAGGCAGGCAATGCCTAGGAGAGGCTGCCTAGGGCTCTGACTTACCTTCTGGGGCTGGGCTTTCCTGCACGCTCTTCTTATACTCCTGCACTCTCTCCTGGAAATTGGGAAGCTCCAAGGCCTCAGCTATGAATTCATCAGTATTGCAGGTGAGTGTGGTATCCCTGCAGAGGAAAACAACTTAGGTGACCCAAGGGTCTGCACAGCCTCTAAGCAAATGCTGGTTTGGATGACAGGACATGAGGTCCTGGATGATGTTGGGGGAGGCTATGGGGAATCGCAGCCTTGCTGGAGGAAGTACATCACTGGAGCTGAGCTTTGGAGTTAATAGCCTGACCCTCTTCCAGTTCACTCTCTTTGCTTTGTGTTTGTGGTTGAGACTGGCATCTCTCAGTTTCTGCCATACCATGCCTTTCACTAGCTGCCATGCCTCCCCACCACGATCAACTCTTACCCCTCTGGAATCCTAAGTCAAAATAAACTTTTTTCTATCAGTTGTTTTGGTCATGGTGTTTTATCACGAAAAGTAACAGATACAGGCACAGAACACTCCTACAGCCAATGACCAAGGCAGTTCTAGTCTCTGGAACCTTCCTCAAGTAAATAAGGCGAATGAGTCTTGAACAACCCCGGCTCTTTACAACCTTTCCAGCCTCAAGCCTGACAATGAAGCCTTCCTGGTGCCTGGGCAAGAGGAATCCTTCTTTACAGTGGAGTTGTCCCTGCAGCACACATCCCCTACCTAAGGTTGTGAAAATTACGCGTCTCCACATGTGGGCCAATGTCCCCTAGGAGGACCACAAGGGCCCTAACTGAGAAGCAGGGTCCCAGCGAGCACCTCTCCAATTGAAGTTAGCATGCACAGAGCTAACAACTGAGAACATTGGTGATCTGTAGAACCCAAACTCGTATCAGTTCTGGGGTGGAGTCAGAGAGCCTACACCCTCAGCAAGCCCCAGTGAATGTTGCTGGCATTGCTGACCTCCTCCAGTTAGCACCAATACTGAGAGGGCTAGTTCCCTGGGCTAGCTGAGTAGGAAAGCCCCCCAAAAGCTTAAAAAAACAGCCCCAAATCAACCTCTCCAGATCAACTCAGTGGGTCCGGGATCTCGGGATGACAGTTTCACTGGCACATGGGCTGAGGAAGGTATGTAGTAATGCCCATGGCCCAAGGCATACCACCTCAGAGCAATGACTATTCAACCAGGACAGCACACAGTGATATTCTATAACATGACGTGCTTAACAATGATGCTGGGAGTTCAGGAAATACTAAGACCGCACACTCATATCCCAACAAGACGACAAGCCATCAGGTAGTCAGCAAACACTTCTCACTTGCCTGGGAGTGTGTAAGAAAGGGCTTTCCAGGTGGCAGGGTATGGTCATGGTGTCTAAAGAACTCACACACACCGTGACACATTACCCAGCATTTAGAAATTACCTTTAGGAAGACATTTACTGTTGCATTGAAACAAGGAAAAGAATGTCCAAGATGAGTAAAATATTACTGTCAGAAATACCATTAAAGACCTTTTACTGGGGCCAGGTAGAATAGCACTTATTTTTAATCCTAGCCTTGGGAGGCAGAGGCCAGAAGATCTATGAGTTTGAGGCCAGTCTGGTCTACATACAAGTTCCAGGCCAGCAAAGGCTACAAAGTGTGACCCTGTCTCAATAAACATCCTGTTACTGGAGCTGGGCTCTGTTGCTGCTGTACAGGTGACCACTGTGGCAAAAACCATGGGGCTACAAACACTTTAAAGAATACCGACCACTGCTGACCACTTTCAGAAATCCTCCCAAGCCCTGGCCTAGATGTCCCCACATGCTCAGAAAGGCACACACCTTTGCCACTCTCTCTTGGGGCGGAGCTGATACTTGAGGAGGCATTCACCTCGAACTATGGGAGTGCTGAGGGCAGAGCCTTCCTCCTGGAAGAGACAAAAACATACTTCATGGTGAGAAAGCAAAGGTGAGGAAACCACGGGCCAGGACGTTGCAGGACACAAACTACATTACTGTAGAAGCTGGTGAGACAGGGAAAGATGTCAGGGTGGATGAGATGATGCAGGACACTAGCTACATTACGGTAGAAGCTGGTGAAACATGGAAAGATGTCAGGGTGGATGAGGCCTGGTCAGGACATTAAGGGACACGAGCTACCTTACTGTAGAAGCTGGTGAGGCGGGGAAAGATGTCAGGGTGGATGAGGTTGAGTTGAGTTTGGATCTTGTGGCTTCGAAGGTTGTGAACCGATGAACAGGTTTCATTCAGAATCAGATGCTGGGTGTCAGATCCAAACCTAGGAAGAGTCAGCCCATCGTTAACAGTGTCTGTTGGGAAATCATCCCACCTCAGGGAAAGGACTGCAGACAAACAGGTTAATGTGGACAGACATGTCATTTGCCCCAAACAATGACTCCACAGCCAGATACAACCCTGCTGCTCCTGTATCAAAGTCCAGGCTTTTGTTCCCCCTGTGCTGCCTTTGGAATATGCAGGAAAGAACAGTGGGAAAACTAAGAAAGTGTAAGATCGTCATGTATGGATGTGAAAATACCACCAAGTACAGGGTATGAAAAAGGCCTAAAAGGAAAATAGACAACTCATGTTCTGACAGACTCCCAAGGAACAAAGACAGAGCTTAAGACTCAGAACTGCTCATGGCAGAGAGGACTGGGAGATATGTAATGAAGCAGATGGTAGGGCAGCTGAGGAGCCACTCCAGGTCACCAAATACCCAAGCTCAAACACTTGTGGTGCTATTTGCTAGTACAGGATTATTAAATGTTGGTGGACCTTCTTTCTCCTCACAGACCCTCTGGAGAACAAGCCAGAGCAGTTGAAGTCACACACATATATATATGCAGTAGATGCTGACGGAAGCTGTTCTTTTACATTTGCCAGTCTCTCCTCTGCACCAGTTGAACAGAATATAAAAGGATATGACCAGGAGTGGTGGACAAGTAGGAAGTGGGGCACTACGCCACCTAGTGGGGATGATTCAACACAGACCCTTCCTACACAGAGACCTGCCCAGAATTCACAAGAGAAAATTCAAGCAGGCTCAGGTGAGAGCAGGCAGTGATCAGAGAAGTACTTAGTGGCACATACATCCAAACACCACCCACAAGAGTTGCCCTTTGTGACCTGGACTGGTCTCCATACCTCTCCATCCACTGCTGGTACCTGCTGTCAGTAAGTACAGAATCTGGGGCAATATGGACCACCAGGGCCACGGGGGCATCAGCCTCTCCCTGGTACCTGGGCAGAAGGAAGAATGGGGTTTCCTTTAGAAAGAGATACAAAGTCAGGACATACATGAAAGGTAACTGATTGTGCAGCCATGAATTGGAATACTCAGTGCTGCCATGGGTACCACTTCTCGTTCAGGCATAGTCTACTACTAACCTGGTGACACATCCTTTTAGTTCACTGGCTATTTTCACCACCACCATCACTGCTACACACACACATACACACACACTATATCGCATAGGCACAGAGCTCTCAAGTTCCTCCAGCTTGCAATAGGCTCTGCTGCTTGAAACCTTATTAAGAGAGTTTGTGTCTAGGACACTGAACCCATGAAGAACACCATGGCCAAGGGGGAACTCCTGACACTACTGTATAGGAGCTAAAAGATTTGTTGTACAAGTAGAATAAACCAGCATGTGAAAGACAAGTAAACAAACAAGCCACTAAGGAGAGGGAAAATGTAAAACAGACATGAGGCTTATGGGTTCTACGTAAGGTGGTGGTGGTATGCACCAGATTCAGCACTAAGGAGGCTAAGGCAAGACCACATGACCAAGACCAGCTGAGCCTACATGGTGATATCTTGTCTCAAAGAGACCAAGGGCCGGTGATTAAGCTCAGGAGCATGGCCACTTGCCACTTGTGTTCAGGGCTGAGCCCAAGCACCAGACAGACGTGGTGGAGGGACTTGTAGCCAGAACTGAAGTGCAGAACTGGCTGTTTTCCAGTGGACATAACACTTGGGCCAGAAAACCATGCTGATGACTATGTGACTATCCCTAGAACAATCTAGGCCACAGCGTCTTTGACATTCAACCCTACCTCATTAGTCTCAACACTGATGAGGGAAGAAAACTCATATAGGAAGAAATAGGTCAAATAATTTATTCTAGATTTACATGCCTCTCTCTTGCTCATGTGTGTTCTCCCCTCCTTATCTCTCTAAGTTGCAGTTGACTTGTCTAGTCCTCAACGACTTATTGTCAGTTCCCAAATTTTATTCCAAAGACCACCAACTACAAACACTGCCCAACTCTTGCTAAGAAGATCAAGACACACCTTGAACCCAAAGACTGGGCCTTGCTAGAGACATGGTATACCTAAAGGACATGATCTGTTATGGGGACGTGGAAATCTGTGCTGGGCTAGGTGTGCTGAACAGTGATGCTCTCACTTCTCCCACCCAAAGTCCCCTCATCATTACCTTTTAAAGGTGTCATTATCACAGATGGGCTGAATGAATCCTTCATCAGGGCATTCTACCACGATAAATGCAGGACCAGGATCTGGGGGCGTGCAAAGCTCATCAGGGGTGATCTAGAGAATTAGACAGATTGCTGAGTGGAGCAGAATGCTCTTCCAGAACAGTCTCTGCTCAGCCACAACTAAATGTCCTTCAAGGCAACTGCTACCATTACCCAACCCACATTCCATATACAGAGTACAAGCCCAGCCTGAGTGGCTGCCACCCACCTTTTCCTGCTCTGTTTGCTCCTATTTCAGCAGATAGGCACTAGTTATAGAGACATTTTCAAACCAGAGTGGCTAGGGGGAGGGTTAGCAATTAAGGTACTTTCAACACCAGAGATAACCCTTAGACGAAGAGCACATTTCTCCTGACACTTACTAGCAAAGCCCATCCTTGAAGGCAGGACACTACTCTGCAGGCACAAGGAAAAGCATCTGCACATGCAAAAGCCCACCAGGTGTGAACAGACAAGATACAGGAGTATCTGGGCAGAGCACTACTGGGGTCCATCACTAGATAAGGGTTCTACCATGCAGCCAAGATAAGGCAATCCCAAGGTGTCCCAAACATCCTTCAAAGTGCCTGTAAGCTTAAGGCAGACCATGGCTCTGCCCAGTGTGCCAGGCCCCACCTGCCACTGCTAAATCCTGGGAACCAGGAGTCTCACCTCCCTTCCTTCGTGAGTGATACTCTGCCCGTTCTTGACAGCAGCAATGATGGGTCCAATGGCGGCAGTCCCACTGAAAGACAGGCATGCACTCTGTGAGACGCCTTTTTTTTTTTTAATAACAGAGGCCCACCACCAAGTTCCCAAGGACCTGACACTCACACAGGAAGGCCCAGCTCCTTTGCTTTAAGCACCAAGAAGGTTCCTCTCTTCAAGTGAAGCTGTGACAAAGGGAATGCAAACATAATTTGAGATGCTAGTGAAGCAGTTTAACTTTCACAGACTGTATCTACGTTGTTACTTCCCCCCTATTCATTAAAATGCAGTAGGTATACATATTCTAAAGCAGGGTTTATTTTGAAAGGCTTTAGAGTTAAATCCAGATGAACTAAGACATGATGCTTACTCCCACCATCACCTTGCTGTGAACTTAAAGTGTCACTCTTCCATGTCACAGTTTACCAATAGCAAGGATGCTAACAAATTACAGTTAACAAATAGCCCCCAGGAGAACTGCAAGGTACTTGGGCTGTTTCATCATTTAATCTCGCATCAGGGTGCTACCAAAGCATCGTCTACTGGCAGAGTGCTGCACACTACCCTCCAGTACAGTGATACTAGGCGGACATCAACAGAATGGATGATGGTTTTCTTCCTCCTTCAAATATTTGACAGTATAGGGCTTCAGCTTTTAATGGAAAGAGAAAAATTGTAAAAAAATTCCTAGTATATTCTTCTTCCATCTGATGACACAGCCATCCTACAGCTCTGTAAACTTCTGTCTGACCTTCCCGGGACCCAGAGTTCACAGAGGATGACACAGAAGGCCATCAGCAGGTCTCTCCTGAATCACATTTGAACTCCATTTTCTTCCTTACTTCCTGAATAACTGCTGAGTTTACTTTTAACTTTCTTAGTTAAGAAGTTACTCTTAGGAGCAAATCTGGATGCCAGAGTCTCATTCTCCAGGCTCTGGACCTTCTCACCTTACACACTAGGGTGCTAGTGGAAAGACTGTGGCTTTACTGTGTGCACAGCAAGGTCAGACCACAGAGACGCAGAGGTCCAGGTGGCACAAATGCCACAGTGTACAAGTGCCTCAACATACACCAAGTGAGTCTGAGCACAGGAGGGACATGTCATAGCAAGAGTCACTTGCAGTCTCTCTGAACAGGATTCAAGACAACACCTGCTCAATAGGTCAAGGAGGTCCCAGTCGCAGCACAGCTGCCTCAGCCCACACTGTCCTATAAGATGTGCTGCCCCAGGCCCTGTGTTCAGAAACTGTTCTCTCTGGCTCCTGTAACTGGAGCTAGCTCACTGCTTTCCTAACCTTCCCCTGAAATGCATCATATTAACAAGAAGAGGGAAGAGAAGGCTGAGGGCGACCAAGATCAGCCCTCAGAAGTGCAGCAGAACATAGCAAGCCCAAGGCCAGTGGGGGCAACTTAGCAAGACCCTGTCTCAAAATTGAAAAATCCAAAGGGACTGGGGTAGAGAGCTTGCAAAGACACGCAAAGCCTCTTAGACTCCATCTCTAGCACTGCTGGCAAAACAACATGGTGCAGACAAGGAAGAGAGGGGAAAGCCAGCTCACCAGCCTATAGCTATGTCAAGTGGGCCTGCAGGTCCAGAATAGCTGCCTCAAGACATACAGCTGCCTGAGCACACAGAGACATGATCTCCATCATGCTCAGTGTAATTACTTAGGAAGAGAGGAAGTGTCTATCACAATGCAAACAGCATACAATAGGTAAGATGTTTTTTTCCTAATCTTCAGAAACACACAAGTAATGTGCCTACCAGCATCAGTGCTTACACAAAAGTATAGCTGTCACTCAGATAGACAGAAATGGTATTCACAATGCCATTTTGGTGCTGCACAAAAATCCCAGATTGTTTTTTTTCCTTTTGGAGCACCAGGGATTGAACTTAAGAGTCTTGCAGATGGCAGGTAAATCCTCTAGCACTGAACTATATAACCCCAGTCCTCAAACAGAGCTAGAACTCAACATAAAAACAATACTGCCTCACCACATTTGGACAAAAATATTTGTTACAGGTTGTACTGTAACAAAGCTTTATAGTGAGGCCTATTCAAAGTAGGTCACACAGCTTACCATAATAAAATGTGAGCATTTTCAGGCTGCAGATTTAGTCCTCTGTGAATGGGAACCAATATCAAAATCAACATGACCCACAGACCTGAACTAGGACGGTGAAATGAAACGAGAGTTGAAGGAGGTGGAAACTCAAATGCCTGACTTTTAGGAAACAAGCAACAGCTGCTTTGATTTTGGTGTGGACCAGCCACTCACAACATGAAATGTGTGCAGAATGACAGGGCAATGGATGAGAATTTGAAACACCAACAAAGCACAGGTGGTGTGAGAAGGAGACTCTCTTCTGTTCTTTGTCAGGTAACCAGGAACCTCCTGCAGATGACTGCACAGGTGCCCACAGAGCACAGCTGACCCAGGAGCCTCCTGCAGGTGACTGCACAGGTGCCCACAGAAAGTCCCAGCACACACCACCTGCTGGCCACCGGCCACATGCCCACTCAAGCTAAACTTACCTTGCATATAAAAGCCACCACTAAGGAAGGGTCCCTGCCACTTGCTGTCCTGTCAGCACCTGAGGAAAAGCACATTTAACCAGGTGAACATGAAGGCTGCATATGCTTCTCAAATTACTATCCCTTAATTCTCCCTCAGTACATTAAAGGGACATTGCTGAACCCATCCTGAAGCGGAAGGAAGACCCTGTCCTTATTACACCTCTTTACCTTTTTTTGTCAAGAATAAGTGAATAGAAAATGGGAAACTCCAGCTAGGCCTAATGGTGCATGGTTGTAATCCCAGCTACTTGGGAAACTATGGCAAGAGGGTCAAAAGAGTTCAAAGGCAGCTCAGACAACTTGTCCATGTAGCAAGATGTCCTGTCAATTCTAGAGTTTATATATTATCCGTCTGTGGTCTTTGATAGAGTTGAAGACAGATAGTTATGGTTATAGTTTTCTTCAGTTATTATAAAATATAAGTTATCCTTCTTTTATTTAGACAGAAAAGAGGAGACATGGGGAATGTACTGTGTATGTTTATCTTATTGTTAAATAAAATACTGTTTGGCCAATGAGACAGCAAGTTAGAGGGACTAGGAGTCAAAGAGGATTCAGGGAAATGTAGTAGAGAAGTGGTGATTCAGGCAGGAAGTGACATAGCAAGGAGACTCATATTTAAGTGA